TCTGCGGTAATAAAAATAATGAAAATAGATAATTTTATTTAAAAACCAAGTGTTTTTCTTCCATATAAAAAAAAGAAGTTTTTTTAACGTATTTTGCAGTTTTCCAAGTACTTTTTTATCTCAAAAAGATGTCTTACAGATTTTTATATATATATACAGTTTTGTAGAATTCGACGAGCTCTATCGAACCATGTAAAAATATCCAAGAAAAAATTTTTACTCCATTTTTGAATTACTGACAACTTAAGGTCGCCCCCCGTCAAAAAAGTCACTTTTCGTCAAAATCATCGAAATTGAGAAAAATGCATAGAGAGATAGCCTGTGATCTGCTCTTTCATATATAATAAAAGTTTTTACTCGGCATCTCCTTTTTTTCCCTCGCGAAAAATGTTGTAGGTTTTCATCACCGCCCCTATTCGAAAAACAGGCCGTGTTTTTAGAAAAAACCAAAAAGTCATTTTTCGTCAGAACATCGGTTCAACGACATATCTCCAGCAGAACTCCATCACAGTAAGAGATAAAGCCAAATCTTTTTCTTTTTTGTTTGAAAGCTTATGTACAGGGCTAGCGACTCTCGTGACTCTTTTTTTAAAATAAGCTTTTTTATTATCATAGAAGATAACCTCTGTATCGGAGCAGTGCAATTTTTAGAGATGTTTTTTGAGTCATTGAACTTTCGCTCCGGTTTTTTTTTCGCCTAAAAAGTAAGACTTTAAAAAAAAAGGGCCACGAAACTCGCTTTATTCTGACATGCTCTTTCAAACAAAAAAAAAAAATTAAATGTCTAGAATGAAGACCCACAGAGACAACTAGGATATACTAAAGAGCTATTTTTGTAAAACTCACGTATGTTTTCAAAGAAAATAGTGAGTATAAGTTTTCAGTTCGAGGTTTGGCGGCTCCCCCTCTGCCCCCCCCCTCCCACCCCATTACAGACACATAGCAACGAGAAAGAGAACATTACAGACAACCCCCCATTACAGACCTTGGCAACTTCATGAAAAAACAAAATTTTCTATTCGAAATTGAGAGATAAAAATATAGTATTTTCTAAAAATCGATTATTGTGAGAAAAGAACAATTATGTTCTTTTTGAGAAATTTTAAATATTGGATATTTTGCCATTAGTATAATGAAAGCAAAGAAGATATGTGAGTTCCACATGTTTAGCCCTAAAGAGGCTGCGCTACCAAGCTTTGTTTTTTTTTGAGACTATAAAATGATGTATTCGAGAAGTATTTATATATTAAGTATATGTCGTCTTGACATTGACGATATATGTATATTTCATAAACTGCAAGCTTTTTCTATGTTTTATTTTTTTGTAGAAATTGTCAAAAGGATGTAACTATGTACATAAGTATATATCGGTAAAGATATATATATATGTATGTATATTACCAAAAGTATAAGAAGAAAAACAAAATGTATAAAGAAGATAAAACACTCACAATGCGTATATATATTATGTATGCACTTCTGTTATAAAGAAGCGGATAAAAAAGAAAGAAACAATATCGAGAAAACAAATCGAAACTTGAAATGATGTTGATTTTTTGCAAAACTTCAAATGAAATTTTCACTTTTTTTCTCTCTATATGCTCTCTGGCTCTCTCACACATTGTCTTCTCTTTTATTTTATCATTTTATTCTCTTGTTTCTCTCAATTCCAGTGATTCCATTACGTGGAAGTTCAATTGACATTCATCCAAATGCTCGATGGCAACAGAATGGTCTCACTATTGCTGGAGAAAATGGAGAAGAAAATGGAATCAATCAACTCTCATACCCATTGGGTTTGTATGTTGATGAAGATGAAACAATATATGTTGCTGATCAATACAATCACCGTATTGTGGAATGGAAATGGGGTGCGACGAGTGGCCAAGTAGTTGCCGGTGGAAATGGACAAGGAAGTGAGGCTGATCAATTGAATAAACCACAAGATGTGATTGTCGACAAAGAGAGAGATTGTCTAATGATCTCCGATACTTTGAATGGAAGAGTGGTTCGATGGCCTCGTCGAAATGGGACAAGTGGAGAAACAATCATCTCCAACATCGTTTGTGTGGGTTTGACAATAGACGAGAATGGATCTCTCTATGTCGTTGACAATGGAAACCATGAAGTGAGACGATATCGAAGAGGAGAATCTCAAGGAACAGTGGTTGCAGGTGGCAATGGAAGTGGAAATCGTCTCGATCAACTCTCTTACCCACGATACGTATTCGTCGATCGAGATCATTCAGTCTACGTGTCTGATTGGAACAATCATCGTGTGATGAAATGGTTGGAAGGTGCAAAACAAGGCATTGTCGTGGCTGGTGATCAAGGAAAAGGAAATGGTCTTACACAATTGTCATATCCTCGAGGAGTCGTTGTCGATCAATTGGGCACTGTCTATGTGGCTGATGCAGGGAATGATCGAATCATGCGTTGGCCCAATGGAGCCAAACAGGGAAGTGTTATTGTTGGTGGAAACAGTGGAGGAGGACAATCGAACCAACTCAATGGGCCCATCGGTTTATCATTCGATCGACACGGCAATCTCTATGTCGTCGATAACAGAAATCATCGAGTACAAAAATTCAATATCGAATCCAATAAATAACGGACTAAAGTAACTTGAAAAAAGAAAAAACTTTGTACACTATTGTTTTAATTGAAAGTTTGTTTTATTTTTGAGAAAATAGAAAATAAAATGTGAGTAATAACTAACAATAATATATGATTCAACCCAGGAGCCCACCACGCCGAATTTTTTCAAGGTTTCCGAATCCTTGAAAAAATATCGAATTTCCTTTATATTAAAGTAAAAAAATTTTTTTTTTCTCACATTTTCTTCATGAAAAGTGCCTGAAAATTCTTGTAATAATACAGATTCTTGTACAGCACAGTTGTCTGATGATATCTAGAGATCGCCTGCGCTTCAAAACCATCAAAATCAAAGGATTCCAGAAGACTTTGCATAAGACTCTATGCACAGGAATCTCATCGTAACTGATATGCACGGAATTCTTCAGGAGCGTTGAAAACCCTTCTGAATCCTTAAGATATTTGTACAATACTCCTTTGCAGTCGTGTCTGACCATCGTTGATGAGTCAAAGGTCTAGAAACATAAGAAATTTAGGGTTTCCAGAAGCATTTGCCTTGTTCAAAATCCATGAAACTTGATAATTATTGATAAATAAAAAAAATTCGTGAGAATCCGTTTCAATCCTTGAGACATTTTCATAATTGTGTTTCGCTATTACATCGGAGCATTCGCGTTGGTTTAGATATCTAGAAATCATGGAATTCGTCGGTTTCCAGAAGTCTTTCTCTTATACGTTATCCCGAAGCCAGGATAATTAATGATGCGCAAGGACTTCACAGGAATCCTTGTGAATCCTTGAGATAATTGCACAGTGATGCTCCATAAGTCTACCTAAGTGTCGCTGATGGTTCAGATCTTTAGAAAGCCAAGGATTCCATGGTTTTCAGAAGACCTTTCCTCTTCTGCAAAGACCATGGGAACCTCGCAATAAGTGCGACTCAAACAATTTCCAAGAATAATTGCCAATCCTTTAGATAATTGCACAATAGTGTTCCACAATCCGATAGGAGCATTGACGATAGTCCTGATGTCTAGAAATCTAAGGATTCACAGGTTTTCAGAAGACACTTGCTGATGGTCACTTCATGAAAATTGCACAATGAATGATATCTCCAAGTAATCCTTGGAAAAGGTTTCCACATCTTTTGAATCCGTTAGATATTTGTACAATAGTATTTCACAATGATGCCTCAGCATTGTGTGATGGTTCACGTGTCCAGAAAACCAAGGATTTGTGGCCTTCCAGAACACCTTTCCTTTCCTTTTCCGGAAATCAATAGAACTTCTTAATAAGTAGTACACAAGTAAATTGTTGTGAATGCTTGTGCGGCTTGTCCAAGCGTGACGGAATCACGTTTTTTCCTCGTGTCTTTGTAATATCTCAACGAAATGAAATAGGATAAGGCTTAAAAT